TGGATATTTTGTGGACATGACACAATGTTCTAAATAGATCTTATTGTAATTGATCGGCTTCAAGCATTTTCAATATCTTGTCAAAATAACTTGTCAAGAAAACATTTCTGGCACCTTGGTTTGATTGTTTTACGCTCAACAAGGAATGAATTTAAGCCGTAAAATACCACCAATTGTACAGTGTGAGAGAAACACGTTAGCAGGGAACAATTGAAAAACATCACCTCATCTGTGCCCAGAAACAAAGTATGTCAATGACTTCTGTCTGAATTATTCAAATCTGTGTGGGATACTATGAAGAAGATAACAATCACGATTTTCAGCCCATGTTAAAATAGCAGCGACGCCATGTTCAATGTTTGCCTCAGATGGTTCTGTCAATAATCCCAACAAATACAGCATCCATATTATATGTTGAAGCAACAAAGGCCATCCAATCTGTGCCACCCGGGAAACCTGTACATACACCAGTCTAAAGCCAGTGAAAACAATGCCCATGATATCCAGAACATTCTTATTGATTTAACATTTCTGTTAACATTACTGTGCCATTATTAGTGATGATATTTTCAGTGTAATCAAACGAAGAAGCACGAAGAAGATCCTTAACTTCAAGGAAGCATGTGTCAGCAGAATTAGTAATATGATGAAGTGCTTATTATGATATTTGATTACTATGACATTACTCTTTCACTGAAGCAGAAGTCACTGGATAAATGAGGAAATGAGATGAAATTGGTGGTTCGTGACGAAGTGGTCATTGCTTTTATCAGGCAGAAACGCATATGATGTAATGTAGGCAAGTGGTAGTTGTGAAAGCTACACAGCTGAAATATATCGGTCACATTTCATTCACTCACACTTGTTATGTATCTTGTGGCTCGTGGACGACATGGTGCACTCTGTCCAAAAAAGACAAAAAATATCTTTCAATCAATATTTGTCAATGTGTTAAGTTTGATAAATTTGTTGACATCTCAAAGAAGTGCTGGGTCAATGCATACCTGTTCTGTTATTACCCTATCACCACTCGAGTTCCATTCCTGGGTGAAGGGAACACAAGCAAAACGTTGGTGACTGTTGTCATGCCTGAAAAAGTACAGCCAATTGCGAGATTGAGAGTTTTGAGTGCTTAGTTCAAAACTATGATGGAAAAACTCTTTTTCTAATACAATAAATCTGCATTTATTAGTGTTGAAAGGTCAACAAAAATAGAAATTTGCATTTATTGTGTCACTTTGACCTTGAAATATTGACTTGAAGCATATTGCCACAGATTAGTCATGCTTGAAAACTACCGCCATTGATGTTAGCCAAGTAGTTCGAGAAGTATGATATTTTCTGTATTTATTGGTGAATGACATTGGCCATCTTGGAATGGGGCTTTATTGGGGAGGGAGCCGGACGTTATTTTTTCTTTAGTTCACACTTAGATGAGGGTCTACACTACAAAGAGTCATACAGTAACCGTGATGAAACGTCGACAATACCCTGTTAACATGAATGTCAAGGCGAACATCAACATTCATCGTACTTCATGCATCTATGCATCAGCGACCACACATCGACTAGAGCATTTATAGCATGTTTTTAGATGAGTATCTTTGAATTACAAGTATGTATATAGAGCACAACTTTCACACACAATTTACTACAAATAAGAGAGCTGCACATTTTGCGATTTAGTTGTGAATTTGTGATCCATTTAGAAAACTTGAAAGCAGCTTTTTTTGACACTGTGTGTGCGGGTGTAAAAACTATTATACGTTCTTCGCCGCTATGCGGTTACTATATTACTAAATCATTCTGGATATCGATGAAATCAATGTCAAATTACAATAGTCCGTGTGATCATCATGACACCATTTTAAACACATCGAATGTAGATAACACCTTACCTTACTATAAAACCTTATATCACATAAGCACAGCAAACACGTTTCTTCCTA